TAAGATAATTATCGAGCGATACTTAAATAAAATACGATTATGATCAGTACTCCATTTGAAAACTAAATGTTTGATTCTTCGATTTCCGTTTGAAAGAGAATTTGGTAATTTTTCCACTGTGCTTCAAAAGAAGTACTACTTTACAAAACTGCGGATCACATGTTTCAGAAAGTTAAGTATAAGTACACACAGAAAAGTAATTCTTTCCTTGTAACCCGAGCATAGATAACTTGCGGTATTTTCTATGTTAGCCTACATTTAGCAATATTTATCAAGTGAGTCTGTGATGCAGAATAAACTTACAGCCCCAAAGAAATATAGCCGCTATCCACACGAAACGTTTAAAAGCTGCGTTTGTTGTGTTTTAGAAGCGTTTTTTTTTCCTTGTTAATTTTAAGTGCATCTTTATTATATGTTTTATGTTTACGGATTTGTATTCCAGTTGATTATGCTGCTGTTTCTCTGATGGTTGCGATTCTCTCTGTTATCCACACTTTATTGGCGTTGGCAATTAGAAACCTCAGTGTAACGTTTCCAGTGATTTTGGAACGTTTTGATGAGTTACCCGGATGGCTAGTTCGGTTCTTGTGTTTCCCAACTTACACGAGAAGCATGAAAGTTGAAGAGTCGTTCCTAGTCATGGAATATACTAGAGATTTTGAAGAAATTAAAGAGCATGATGAAATATCTTCCAGAGTAACATCTACCTCCGAAGCACCATCATCAGACGAATCAAAGATGAAATGGAAAATGTTTTCATCAGTTATTGATCGTTTATTTTTCTGGTTTTATGTTTTCTTGAGTGTTATTTTTATTATCATAGTATTAACCACCGAATGACGTTTGAATAAAAATCCTCGAGACCAATCTTTAGAGAGAAATCGGGTATAATACCCAATGATAAATTTTCCTTTGATCTTTAAGAATTATGTAACGTACAGCTACAAGTACTGTAATTTCCACGTGTTTTTCGTGCTGGAACATAAGAAATACTGACTTCATTAGAAATAATGAAGTTATACATGAATGAAACGTCTCCTCTTTGAACTAAATATTCATGTCTACAAAACCAAGAATTTACTTGCAAAAAAATGATTTATTTGATGTTTCTCTTACTTAAATTCTCAAAGAAATAAAAACTAGCATATGAAAGAAAATGTGTGCTAATATATTAGTTAAGAGTGCATTCTGTCTGTCTGTCTGTTAAAGTTATAGAAAAGTTTTTGTGACCAGTATTGAAAATAAACTATTAGCATTGTACTTGAACCAGTCCTTGTTCAGCTTTATAGTTCAAAGAATAATCCACATGTTGTTACTGTAGTTTGAAAATAATGAAAACAAAAATTGTCTTTTCGAAACTTGGAGGACTATTAAAATTGGCTTTGTTAAAATATGATAAATTATTTTCAATACATGTGATTTAGACTGCGCTTCAATACAAAATTATTTAATTTTGTAAACATTGTTGTTTGTTACGTTCCGTTAATAGTTTAACTTGATCTATAAAAAAAAAATGAAAGAAAACAACATCATCTTTCAAGTGATTTTGGAAAACACAATTTAACATTATTCTCTCAAGTAAATTGCAAGTTTGTGATTTTTCAATAAAACCTTTACTTAAGGACGTTTACAATGAAACTGGGGAAAAAATAAATTATATAGATGGAACTTAAATTCAAATGACCATTTCTGTAATTAAATTTCAGTGATACTTTTCAGCTTTACTGTAGCAAAAACTGTTTTCAACTCGAACATATGAATTGTTGTCGTACGTGAAAAAAAGAATAACAAGAAAACATCCCATATTGCACTTGAGATAATAAGAAAAGTTTCTCATTTTCACACAAAATAGGGTGTAATGTGTGTATAAAGCAAAATAAAAATAAGATAGTTATGACTTTCATTCTTCATAAAAGATGGCGGGGCAAGTATGTCTTATACCCTAAATAGGCTGGTTGTTGAGCAAGCATTAAATAAATATTGGTTTGGTTCGAATTTTGCGAAAAGCTACACGAGGATTATCTGCGCTAGCCGTTCCTAATTTAGCAGTGAAAGACTAAAAGGAAGGCAGCTAGTCATCACCGGGTACCGCCAACTCTTGGGTTACTCTTTTACCAACGAATAGTGGGATTGACCGTCACATTATAAACGCCCTCACGGCTGAAAAGGCAAGCATGTTTGATGGGACGGGGGTTATAATGTGACGGTCAATCCCACTATTCGTTTGTAAAAGAGTAGCCCAAGAGTTGGCAGTAGGTGGTGATGACTAGCTCCCTTCCTTGTAATATTTCACCACTAAATCACGGACGGCTAGCGCAGATAGCCCTCGTGTAGCTTTGCGCGAAATTCATGACAAACAAACAAACTTTGACTAATTAATGTGAAGCCACCTATTGAGAGTTTTAGTAATAGAATAGATGTACTCTTATCGTTAACGATGTTGCTTTTTTTAAGGCCTGGAACGGTCTGGTAGTTAGGGTGCTCGACCCACAAGCTGTGGGTCGCGGGATCGAAACCTGTGACCAAACATACTCGTCCTTTCAGCTGTGAGGCCCTTTTAATGCGACGGTCAATCCCACTATCCGATTAAAGTAACCCAAGAGTTAGCGGAAGGTGGTGTTGATTATCTACTTTTCCTCTCGTCTGTCTGTCGCTTCTAAATTAGAGACAGTTATAGCAGGTAGCGGTCGAATAGCTTTTGCAGGAAATCGAACAAAATATTTATTCAATTTGTTTTGTTTGCTTATAGGCTAATAGATGGCACTAACTGTCCATAGTTCATGTGCGTAAATATAACCTCATGAGCGTTAGAATACACATAATAAACTAAGATACCCGCTTGTCTGCATTTCAGTTCTAGTTTTCAGTGACTTTCAAAGGTCGTCGCGTTAAAAATGAAATTAATTTTAACTTGTGTTCTCTACATTTATCTCTCTATTTGAAATTTAACTCAGACATTAGTTTGAGTACAGATGCAAGTCTTAAAAGTTTTCTTCCTTCGAGTGATTAATTCTTGTTTAGTTTAACCAGAAATGTTAATTATTAACCAGGCAGTGTTTTGTGAGAAAATTGTTTCTTGACTTTTTTTTTTCAAGGCTTAATAACGAATCAACAATAAACAAAACCACAACTAAGGGATATAGGTATCACGTGGAAACTTATTTATCCTTGTTAAATGCGACAATGAAAGACAATTAAATCTCGAGTATAGGTGTTTCATTGTTGTATACTTTATTCTTACAATTGTTTTTCATTACGTAAGACAACTTGTTATATCTATGGACACGTGCATATACTCTAAGCTACAGCAGACCATAATTGTTTGTTTTGTTGAATTTCGCGCAAAGCTACACGAGGGCTATCTACTCTAGCCGTCCCTAATTTAGCATGGAATAGAGGGAAGGCAACTAGTCATCACCACTCACCGCTAACTCTTGGGCCACTCTTTTACCAACGAATAGTAGGATTGACCATCACATTATAACGCCCCCACGGCTGAAAGGGTGAGCATGTTTGGTGGGACGGGGACTCGATTGCGAGTCGAGCTCCTTGACCACTTGGCCATATGAGGTGCACTTGAGAGTCGGACAGACTCTTTTGTTTAAAATAAAAGTAGAAGAAATAAGGCAGAAACTGAAACTTTCTGCCTAACATTTACAGGATCAAAAGGGAACTACTCACACAACTGCAACTTAGTGAATCTAATTAAAACTACATGGGAATCGCTGTAAAATCTTTGTAAATTCTACTCTCACAAGCCTCAAAACTGTCTTAAATATATCAATAAACCCCTAGGTCTTTAACATACACAAAATTGTGTATGTTACACAAATCAAAGACGAGTCCACTCGTAGTTATTATCTGATTCGCGGACAAGAATAACTAAATTCACATATTAAATACAACTTTGTTATTCCTGTAAGATAATCAAACAAGAATCCCGCTTGGACAATTTAACTCACTTGAGCGCCTCCTTGTGTCCGACTGAAGAACTATTAAACATTATAATTTTTTATATTTTAATTTTAATTTTAGCTAAAGGATTGGAAAACATATAGCACGTTCTTCTACTATATATTCTAAAACTTATTTACTAGTTGTATCAGGCCCCGATTTTATTTGCCAGCGCCCCAAATCCCCAGTTGGTGTCTTGAAAAAAATCAGAATAGAAAACCGTGATCGATATCATAGTGCCCCGAATATTTCAAGCATCTAGCAACGGACGATTCTGCATAGAGTGTTAACTGCAACAAGATGAAACTGTTGTATGTATTTTAAAAACACTTAGGAATTGCTGCCCTAAAATATTACAAAAATATATAAGCTGATTTCGTTTTGCATTTTGTCAAAACGTTTCGATAAAAAAGGTTGAATTTAATAAATGTTGGCTCGTTGTTGTCGTATGATGTTTATAACTTATTGCTAAAAGCTAGCTCCTGACGAAGGGAAAATAAGTTTTAAAAAAAGAGGTTGTTTGAATTGGAAACATTATTTCAGGTGCTTCCTTCAAGAAACAAATAGCATTCCAAAAGACGACGTATATAATTAATTATGTGTTCTGCTTCAAGTGTTATGGAGTAAGAACGAAAGTCTGTTTCGGCATGCTTCACACGTTTCTCACTCTGAAAAAACACACGAGTCTCTCTTTTTGTTTATATTTGTAATTAGTTTTCGTTTATACTTGTAATTACTCTTCATTTATATTTTTAATTACTCTTTTTGTTTATATTTGTAATTAGTCGTTTCGTTTATTTTGTAATTACTCTTCATTTATATTTTTAATTACTCTTTTTGTTTATATTTGTAATTAGTCGTTTCGTTTATTTTGTAATTACTCTTCATTTATATTTTTAATTACTCTTTTTGTTTATATTTGTTATTAGTCGTTTCGTTTATGTGTGTAATTACTCTTCTCGTTTATATTTTTAATTACTCTTTTTGTTTATATTTGTAAGTATTATTTTCGTTTATGTGTGTAATTACTCTTCATTTATATTTTTAATTACTCTTTTTGTTTGTATTTGCAAATACTCTTTTCGTTTATCATCAGAGTTCAGACGTAAATGTACTCTTTTACTATTTTTTTATAATACATTGTTTTTCATGAAGTTATTTTTTTATATATTACGTTTTATAAGGAAAATTCACAGACTTTTCGGTTTATTGCATACCTACGCGCACACACACATCTTGAACATTGGAATATTCCGAACCATAAGTATGGTTTATGCAATACAGTATTACTATCGTAGCTGGAACAGTTACTAATTTCACTCTTCCATAATTAGCATAGAATATATCTTTATTTAGTACATTTAGGTAATTTTCTTGAGCATTTATGCAAGTGTTCTGTATGTAAATATGAAATTACTGATAAGGGAATGTTAAGAGGTTGTAAACATGTGTTCATCTTTTTAGTTAGGTAAAAGCGAGGTGAGACAGATTCTTATACAAATTGGTATGTGTTGGAGATTTTTCTCCTCTGTACGTGTTATATGGAACAATCAGCTTGTCGTTATGTTATATAGCACTTAAACCCATTGTTTAACTATGAAGCGTGGTATAATATAATATCTCATGTGTTGAGGCATAGAGAACCTTCTTAGCCCCAGCAGCCAGAACCTCCAGAAGTTACTGGGGTGGTCTCCATGGTACACCAACGTACTCGTTAACAAGTACAGGCATCACAAG